TATTTTACCCGTTAGATAAGGAACTCACATATAAAATTTCTTCATAAACGGAATTCAAATTTGATCTCAAATCATCGATTTATTTTTTAAAACTTTGGGGGAAAAGTTCCAAAAAGATTCATTTTTTACCCGCGATAATTTGATGAAATTAACGAAGAATCATTGGGCAATTACCAAAAGAAGGGTTAGACACTTACCCCTACAAAGAATCTTTATATATCCCATAAAATTCATCTAAATCTAAGCTTTAGAACTCCCAAATTTCATTGCAAACGTGAAGGGTGTCTTGCGATGGCGTAGAAGGGTGTTTGGCACAAATATCAACAATTTCAAACTCAATCAAAAATCCAAAACGGACCCTGAAACTCATTTGGAACCCCCTAATATAAATCAATAGCGCAAATCAATCGTAAAACACCTTTTGGACATGTTGGAATTGTCAAAATACATTCCAAGATTGTTCAAATCAAAAGTTGACCGAGGTTAACTCAAGAATTCAAAAAAATTTAAAATCCAACCAAATAACCAGAACACCCCTGAAAGCCTTGAAAATTGAGCCAAACTTCCACTTAGGCCAAATATCACCAGGTGTACCTAGTGAAACAATCAAAATTCGGATCCAACCTCACCAACATTAAATATTGACTTTGGTCAAACTTTTTAAGTTTTAACTTTCAAATCTCAAAAACTTAAAAAAAAACTCATTCAATCACCTCAGGAATCAAACCACGCATTTCCACAAGTAATAAATACCAATTCAAAGCTATGGAGAGGGTCACACTGGAAAAAATAAGTAAAAAATATGAAACCACCTTGAGGGTCGTTACATTTAACCTACTCGTCTCCTAACCAACATTAAACTAGGTGAACAAAATTTGATGAGTTGGAGTTTGTCTATGAGGTTAGAAGGTTAGAATTTTTTCATTTGATTGGGTTAATTTGTATATCATGCATGATGATCATGAAGTATACTATAATATATTTGATGTTGTAAGTTGCTAAAAGACCTAATTGTTAGTATCAATCAGAGTGGTGTCACTCCCTAGGCTTGATTTATTGAGATAAGTTTTATATTTTCTTGAGGACGAGCAAAAATCAAAGTGTGATCCACTTAAGTAATTCAAAATTGTAATCATGAACACAATAACAAACCTATACATTTTGATTTTACAATACATCCCCGATTGCTAAGCTCAATTATAGAATCTTACAATACTATCCCCAAGTTTCACTTACACAACGAATTCTACAACATTGTCATGAAATTTCAATTATAAAACTATCTTGACAAATATATATATCTTCAATTCAATTTGTTCAAACATGACGTTTTGGACGCATTGCAATTTGAAGTGCAAAACTTGATGGCCTTAACTAAAAACAATATACGAGGAAAGTAAGTTAATTAATATCAACTTTACAAATCACCAAATTCCAACCTAAAAACACTAGTAGACAATTTCAACCTCTTTTAGAACAGACTAAATATATATGGGCAATCAATATTCTCACCACATATGGGAAAAGCCAAACGGTTCGTGATTTAATCAATTTTGTGGAGATAAGATGTCAACATCTAAGCATTATTGATAGGACAATGCAATAGGAGCAAATAAAATAGGAAGACAATTGTAGGTAGTCATCAAGTATATATAAAAGGAGGCAGCTACTACAAGAAAATAATTAAGATGATGTATATGAAATGTCCCTTTATGATCTCAAGGGTCGTTTAATTCGTGGATCATTAATGAAAAAATAATTTTCAATCCTAATTTACGTGACACAGTTGAAATTTAAACATATAAATTTTAAGATTTTTTGAAATAAAATTTATATATTTAAAAATTATATAATTTTTTTTTATAAATCACAATAATTAACAATTTAAAAAGAATATAATGAAATTTCGATTAAAAAAATTGAGTTGACTCTCGAAATTTTTACGGTGACACGTAAATAGGAACAGAAGAAGTAATATACAATTATATATGAATTATTCTATAAAGATCAATTCATCCATACTTTATCCATTATTATATAAAATAATACGTAGATTAATGTACAAGTTACTAAAAATTAATGGATTATTTGGTTTGTGAGATTAAAAAAAAATCAAAAATAAAATGTAAGATTATTTTATTTCATATTTAGTTAAACTTTTGGTTTCTAAAGTAGCAATCTCGGGATTGTTAGACCACAATTGTGGTATTATTATGTTTATACAAGAATCAATGTTATATAATAAACTTGGGATAAAACATCAAAATGATAAATATGACTTTCTCCAATTCTCTCCCAAAATCTTAGAGGAAAAGGTTGAAATTGAAAATAATTTTTCATATCTCACCTTATTCCGTGTATAAAATCAGACATATATTTTATATTATACCATCCTATATCCTATGTAATCCACTGAACCAAACATTTATGAAAAATAAAATTATATTTACTAAATAATCTCGTCATTATATAATTTCCATTTATAAACATGACATTATAATATTTGTGTAGTCTGTTCACCAACCAAAATATTTTAAAGTTATATTGAAAACGAAAATGCAAACCAAACGAAGGATAAAAACTATCAAATTATATATATGATTATTTTCTAATACCTCCGACCAAGTGACTCTTAATAAACTATTAAAAAGTGGAAAATTTATTAGGTTTCTAATTTATATTTATATGTGCTTTCAATCTTCATTGATTAAGAACATGGAGACGTTTTATTGATAGGTGATGGTGGGACTCTAACTAGTGAACTCGACAAGCTAGCTTTAATACTATATTAAGTAATTATGCAAATCATCATTATCCAAAAGTTTAAAATAATATAACCATTAACCACCTCTATATAACATTTTATTGAGGAAATGTTTCTTTAAGTAGTACATGAATTCTTCCTCCAAGAAGTTATGTAGAAATTAAAGTTGTCTCATAAACTATTTTCTAATTATCTATTGAAAAATATTGGATAAGCGATAAACTAATAGTTTGTTTGGTAACCAATCAACTATAAAGATGAATTGATAATGAGCTAATTTTTTGAAACACATGATTTTTTGGAAAGTAACTAACAACTAACTAATCATAAAACCAAGTAAACAGTTGTAACAATATAAAAAATTATTATATATATACAAAAAGGAGTTTTTTTGAAGAAAGAGAGTACAAAATAATGTTTTTTGATTTCTGAAAAAGATTAAAAGAGAATAAATCAATACTCCTCCCCCTCCGATTAAAAAAGAATGATTTATTTTTCTTTTAAGCCTGTTTACAAAAAAAAATTCAATTATTCACGTGACATAATTTTAATTTAGGACCACAATTTTTTTTAAACTCCCTGTTAAATCAAACTAGATTTTTTTTTTTACACAAAGAGAACATATAACAACATGTCATACTGTTTATAACACTTAATTTGTTCTTGATAAATTTTGGGAGACATACTGACCTACCATAGAGTCTGCCCTGATATTTTACGCACTCATATTTGGAGGATAAGGTGTGTAATAAAAAAGAAGCGTGAAGTGGTTTTGTTGTGTATATAATATGCATAAGAATTATTCTTAGCCAGAAGTTTGGAGTTCAAATCTCCTAAATACATTATCGCTTTTTATTAAAAAACGCTTTATCTTTTCATACAAGACTTCTCACATAAATCTAAATTTAATCGGATATGAAAAAAATTTATGCAAATGAGAGAAAGTAATTTAATTTTTGCTTAAATAAGGGGTTACCAAATTAGGGAGAGAGAGAATTGTTTGCTTCATGACAAATGTTTAATGATGGATGAGCCTTTTTTTTTTGTTTTCCATCTAGTGTTTGGAGTCCACATTGAAGCTTCGACTAAATCCGAATCGTGCTCTGTAGGGCCTATTTGGGGGTGGAGCTCTCAACAAAATTTTCTCCATATCCAGGGCTCAAACCCGAGATCTCTGGTTAAGGGTGAATCACTCCCACCAGTATACCACAATCCATGTTGGTGATGAATGGGCCCTAGTTGATTACTCCTTGTCATCTCTCTATGAGAGTTGGCATTGCAACAAGCAACATGGGGATTGTTCTGACAAAAGTCCTTTTCATTTTCCAGTTGTTAAGAGTGAAAACCAAGTTTGGGATCTATATATGTAGGCCACCCTCTCCACAGTCCACATGGTTACGTCAAACGCCGTCACTCACAATTCCCCTAATATAAAATGACAATTCTCAAAGCCATTATGCATAAGAATAATGTCATGTGTACCCAAATCTTATTTTATATTGAAGAGAATTTTGATAGATCTTCAATTCAATTAAAATAATATAATATAATTTTGACGAAGAAAATAACGAGAGTAAAAAATGAAGACAAAATTATTGAAAGCATAACAACGCAAACTAAAGTTACTACAACTATTATGATATGAAAAAACAACCCTTAAACCAAATATAAAATAATAATAATAATCTGGAGATTATTATTTTTATCTATCTAGGATACAACTCTACAAGGTAGTAGTATTTGTTTCGATCCCTAAATATCTGCGTACTATGGAAAAATAGATTTTTATTTAAAAGTATATGACGTGTTTCCTAATCACGTGCCATCTTTCACGTTATAAATTACTGCGTACATACAACACCTATACAAGCGCCATGATTCTGATATCCCAGCTTCTTTATTTTTAAACAAATACTCTTAGACACACAATTAAGTAAAAAAAATATTCAAGGTTTTAAATTAAATTTATATTAAATATATCAAAATATATTTTAATTTTATGGTGTTAAAAATGTCACGATAAAAAGGTGAAATTGAAATACTGCAAAAATAAAAAGATTATTCTTTTTTAAAATAGACTAAAATAAAATATGATATAATATCCCCTAAAACAAAAAATTTCTGACATGGTTACAGTTAACGGCGAAGAAGCTCCGTTAACTCGCGACTCTCCAATATATATACTCTCCCTCTTCTGTGTGGCATTTCCCCAAAAATCAAATTCTCTCTTCACCAGTTAAACCCTATACCCTCTCTCCTACAAAAAGTCACTCCAAAGTTCATCAGCAAGAATGCGTGAGATTTTGCACATTCAAGGAGGTCAATGTGGAAACCAAATCGGAGCTAAGTTCTGGGAAGTTATCTGTGCCGAGCACGGCATTGATTCCAGCGGAAGGTATCAAGGAGACAGTGATCTTCAATTGGAGCGACTGAACGTGTACTACAATGAAGCAAGCTGTGGAAGGTTTGTTCCACGCGCCGTCCTCATGGATTTGGAGCCAGGAACTATGGATAGTGTCAGATCTGGACCTTATGGTCAGATTTTCAGGCCTGATAACTTCGTTTTTGGCCAGTCAGGTGCTGGTAACAACTGGGCGAAGGGACATTATACTGAGGGAGCGGAGCTTATCGACTCGGTGCTTGATGTTGTGAGGAAGGAGGCTGAGAATTGTGACTGTTTACAAGGTACTTGACAAGTCTACGCAAGTCTAGTAGAGTCAATTCCCTTGATCTAACAATTTCACTGTTTAGTTTTTTTTATACATGTTTCAGTCGTTATGTTTTATGTGTCCTCTTTGATTTCTTGAATTTCTGGTAGGATTAGTGTTTATTAAAGTCATCGCGTTTGAATTCGATTTTACTAAATCAATCCGCTGCTTATAGTGAACAATTGAGTGAAATGTCACAGAACACTTTCATTCTGGTGGTGTTTTGTTATTATGTATATTTATCTCTAGTAATTTGAAATAGATTGTTTATTGTGCTTCAGGAGTGCATTTTCTTGGAGTTTAGAGATACAGTATCTCTTTGAATGAGCGCTTTGATGTGAACTTAGGTTTCTTTGTTTGCGCGTATGAAGGACAATGTGTTTTAGTTCAATTTTTTACTAAAGCAACTTTCATTCAGCAAATAATATCTGTGTCTATTTGGCAAATATGCTAGTTTATTGAAAATAATTGAGTTATATGGTACTTAAAAATGTATTCAGGTTGAATATTGTATCTCCTAATGGCTATATGATCATGGTTGCTGCAATTGCTTGAAACCTCTTTGCTTGGTTTATCTCTTATTTTTGGTCCATAACAAAGTACATGAATGCAATTTGAAGTTTGGCAACTCAGACCCTGCTTGAATGAGAGTCCATGATCTAAATTTGATTTGTTCTGGTGCCCTCTAAATGAGTAAAAGATTGGGCTGGCTACCTTTTTCTTACATCTTGTGAAAGCATTTTGAGCTCAATGTAAAATACCTTTTCAACTTGTTAGTAATCTGATATGTTAAGCAAATGAATATGGATTTTGTTTTGGTTTCAGGTTTCCAGGTTGCTCACTCTTTAGGAGGTGGAACTGGATCAGGAATGGGAACACTCCTTATATCTAAGATCAGGGAGGAGTACCCAGATAGAATGATGCTTACTTTCTCTGTGTTCCCTTCCCCCAAAGTTTCAGACACAGTTGTTGAGCCCTATAATGCTACTCTTTCTGTTCACCAGCTTGTTGAGAATGCAGATGAGTGTATGGTGTTGGATAATGAAGCTCTTTATGACATTTGCTTCCGAACTCTCAAACTTACTACTCCAAGCTGTAAGTTGCACCTCTTCTCAGTTAGCTGTTTTTTTCTTACTAAATGCATCCTGATAGTTGTGTGTTAAATTTTCATGTTGTGTTAGTTTTATCATCTATTCTTGACTTAAACTAATTAAATTGCAATAAGCTGAGGGAGGATGAGGTGACATTCTTTTATTTATGTGTTGGAATTTTTATATGTATTACTGTTCAGTTGATTCAACTACTTATTTTAGAATATTTGCATTTCTTTACAGTCAATATCATGTCCAAAAACTTTTTGATTGTGTATGATTCTGTTTTATTATCACTACGTAATAGTGCTTGTCCTTTTTTGCCCTTTAGTTGGTTTGGAAATCACACTCAGTCCTAAATTGGGGCATGAAAATGAGTTCTATTACATGAATCATTATCATTAATATACTTGCTATAATGGATTTTGTTGATTTATTTACTGATGGATGATGTTTGCCTCAGTTGGGGACCTAAACCATTTGATTTCTGCCACCATGAGTGGTGTAACTTGCTGTCTCCGTTTCCCTGGTCAACTCAACTCTGATCTCCGCAAGCTTGCTGTTAACCTCATCCCATTCCCTCGGTTGCATTTCTTCATGGTTGGATTCGCTCCGCTCACTTCTCGTGGGTCGCAGCAATATCGAGCATTGACTGTTCCTGAGCTAACACAGCAGATGTGGGATGCAAAGAATATGATGTGTGCTGCTGATCCTCGTCATGGTCGATATTTGACTGCTTCAGCTATGTTCCGTGGAAAGATGAGCACCAAGGAAGTCGATGAACAGATGATTAATGTGCAGAACAAGAACTCTTCCTATTTTGTTGAGTGGATCCCTAACAATGTAAAGTCAACAGTCTGTGACATCCCTCCTACTGGTCTGAAGATGGCCTCAACTTTCATTGGTAACTCCACCTCTATTCAGGAGATGTTCCGTAGGGTCAGTGAGCAGTTTACAGCTATGTTCCGAAGAAAGGCTTTCTTGCATTGGTACACTGGAGAAGGTATGGATGAGATGGAGTTTACTGAGGCTGAAAGCAACATGAACGATTTAGTTTCTGAGTACCAGCAATATCAAGATGCAACAGCTGAAGAGGAAGGTTATGACTATGAAGATGAGGAGGATGAACCACTAGAATCTTAATGAGTTCGGGCTGTGGAGAATTTTGAGTGCAGTTATATAGTAGTGATGTTAAGCTTTCTATTTTTGTTTTGTGGTTTGGAACTTTGTGCTGTTTGGCTACCTTGGTGGCACAATTATTGATTCCTTTGCATTTTAGTTGGTAATGCTTCATATACCTGCAATATTGAAATCTAATGGATGCTTTCTTTTGATCCCTATTCTAGTTCTAGATGAAATACTTCAGAATAGGTAAATGGTTTTATTTCTTGAGCAACATACCATTTTTACTTTGATTATAACTGTCTCGTGTTTATCATCTTTGTGGTCAAATTGGAAATTGCAACAAGCTCAGGTAAAAGCTATAGAGAGCAGTTCAAGTTGCAGAATATGTTGTAAAGTTTATTACTACTGTCTGCTATAGACAGCTTTCTTACATTTTAAATTGTACAAGTCTTAACAAAAATTCATTGTAAAAATAACAGTGTTTAACAACTTTTAATGTGCCTACAAAAAATAATATTGCCAGCAAAAATCATATGTTAATAATTATTATTATTTGAGAGATGATAGTATTATTTTCAAGCTCCGAACTTAGGCACTTTCGCAGTTGAGATCTGTGCAAGGAAGTGCTCTGCAACAAGTCGTCGTTGAATTTTTCCAGTTGCAGTTTTTGGAAGAGAATCAGTCATGAACACCTTTTTGGGGACCTTAAAGGCTGCTAGATTTTTCTTGCAAAATCCCAACACATCTCCTTCGTCTATCTTTGACCCTTCGCGTGGAATGACAGCACAGTTTATCTGTGAAACATGTAGGGTATCTGAATTAGACTATATATTATGCATGGCAGAAAATGAAGTTTTCTTCAATAGGTGATATGTTTTCCCCCAGAAATTGAGGTCATTTTGTTACCTCTTCACCATACTTGTCATCAGGAACTCCGAAAGCAACAGCCTGAGCAATCTCCGGATGAGAAACAAGGACTGCATCCACTTCAATTGGAGATATCTTTTCCCCTGAAAATTGTAAGATGGAAAATTGCAGATCAGAAACTGTTCATGAGGTGGTCGAAAGGGTTTAAGCAAGCGTTTAGACATGTAACATGAACGCAGTTAATTATGATAATATAGTTTATACTTTTCAACATTTTCCTAATTTCATTTTTGTATTATTCTGCTGAGACCTTAGGGTCTACTTAATTTTCAAGGCAGGCTGGCGGAAGCTATGTTTAGATTTTGGAAAAAGACATTATGGAATAGTTGAAAGAGGAGATGTCGATATCACAAACCAAAAATTGGGCAAATAATGAAAATTACGATGGAGAAAGGCTCTAAGTAAGCTGTTACATCCTACCTAATAATAAAAGGGCGATGCAAGCCAAGTTTGATGGCAACCACGCATTTGCCTAAAAACAGTCGATACAAAAAAAAAATACTATACTACTAATAGATAGACGGTCCATTCTAATGTCCTACTAGAATATTCTCCAGAATTTTAAAAAAGAGTTTAAAAAGAGAAGTCAATAATGCATTTCATTTCTTATGTACAATTGGGACATTGACCTTTAAATATTTTCAAATAAAATTTACTATGGAAACAAAACTTTTTCTATCAAATAGATCAATCAATTAACTATGTCTTAATGCCTATATTTGTCCACCTTACATCTATGAATCTTTGGTATTTATTCCTTTCTATTTGAGTTTATTTCATTCCAATACATCTTTATGAATAAAACTTTTAAAATATATTTGGAAAGCCTTAGCTGTAAAACCACTATTTAACTCCCTTTGTTTTAATTTTTTGATTTTATTTTGATTTGACATGAAGTTTAAGAAAATAATTATTTTTAATCTTGTGATCCTAAATTAAAGATACCCCATCAAATGTATCAAAATACCATTTAATTTAGTGGTCTTAAACATATCATGTAAAAAATTAGAACTAAAGAGTTGCTAAAAGAAGAAAGAGACGTTCTTTTTTAAATGGATTAGAAAAAACTAGGACAAACAAATTAAAATGGAGAAACTAGTTTTTCTTAAAGTACAAAGAGTTTGAACTTAATATCCAAATGAGTAATACATAAACGTGTCATCTAACTTGAGTATGCATATAGGATGCTCAAAGTTGGCCTTAGACACTTACCATATAACTTGCCTTTATACAAAGTTGAACAAGTAGACAAACATGTTTTATGTGACATAATACATGTAGGACCTAAGTTGTTCAAACTCTTCACTTTTGATGCCGCACCCGTGTCGACAAGACGTGGGTATCGGTGTGGGATCCGTACCTGATTTGGTCAACCAGTTTTGGATACTTTGACCAAATTCAAGGGAAATTTTTTGGATAGATTTAATGATTTCTATAATCAAAACTTTCCTTTTATATATAAATTGAAATTGATGAAAACGAAAAACCTTGTATATATAAATTTCTATTGCCACTACCTTTCCTTTTATCTCCTTCCAAGATTCTCCTCTTAATCATTATTTTCTCCTCGAGTTCTCTACATAATATCTCATGATTTATGTTTTATAACTCTATTTTTATGCCAAATCCCAGAACCCGCATGCCCAAGTCAGAAAATTTAGGTCATAGAGGATCCGATCTCTAGATCCACACCCATATCGGACATCGCCACCCGAGTCCAAGCAACTTAGGGTAGGACGGCGGGACGCTACATAGGATGTGAATTGCCACATTGGATGCAACATTCGGCATGTATGTCTGTTTATTCAAGTTTATACAAGTTTAAGCATATACTCAAAGTTGAAGGGTAAAGATATCAGCTAAAATTAAGTTACATGACACTTTTGTGGCTTATGTAACTAGGAAAGCATGTTCATACTTCACATCAATACTAACATCATGCATTCAAAAGAAGCACTTTGATAGACAATCAAAATCACATTGAATATTAACAAGAAGTTGAAATCGACATACCTCCACGGTTGATCAACTCCTTGATCCTTCCAACCAAATGCAAATATCCATCAGAGTCCAAATATCCCACATCTCCAGTATGAAACCAACCAAATTGAAAAGCAGACTTATTAGCCTCAGGATTATTCTTATACCCTTTTGTAACATTTGGACCCCTAATGCAAATTTCTCCCTTTTCATCAGCCCCTTGTACCACACCATTCTCATTCAATATCCCCAATTCTTGTCCCACTGGCTTCCCTACTGACCCTGGCAAATGTGGACCATTTTCTGGTAATGGATTTGAACACATCAAATGTGTTGCTTCTGTCATTGCATATGCCTCTAAAACAGACGCACCAAATGCTTCCTCTAACCGTGCCAATACGGATGGTGCAAGAGCAGCACTGCAACTCCTAATGAACCGGAGTCTCGGGTAAGAAGACTCTGGGTTGCTGAAATGACGGTCCAATAGGATCTGGTGAATGGTAGGCACCGCGGTGTACCATGTGGCGTTGCACTTGATCATGTCAGACCAGAAAGATGAAGCAGAGAATCTACCGGAAGCAGGGAGCGTTACGGATCCTCCAGCACCAAGCGAGCTTAGTAATCCTGCAATTAGACGGTCAAATTAATAAAATGTTCAAAAATTTGCTAAGGTCAAAATGAATTGGATGAATTACGAGTACTAATTGATTGATTTGGTCATATTTACCTGCAATCAATCCATGAACATGAAAGAGTGGCAACACGATCACTGTAGAGTCCGATTCAGCGAGTTTGTAAACCGATTTAATATTGTTCACTGATGATACTAAATTGTGCTGTGTTAGGGGAACGCCTTTTGGTCTGCTGGTGGTGCCTGATGTATGTAGAAAAAGTGCAACATCGGATGGATCATTCACAATTTCTGAAACCAAATCACAATCTGATAGCGGACTACTCGGGCTGAGAGACACATCGGAATCAGAATTGGGCAGAGTCACCTTAATCCGAGGAATATTGAGCTTTGCAGCCGCTGCTTCAGCTGCCTCATTTCCTTCTTTTGCAATTAACAACAGTTTAGACTCGGAATCTGATAAATAAAACTCGAACTCTTCGGGCATATACGCTGAATTCAGTGGCGCTGCTGTGGCTCGAACTCGAATCACAGCTAAAAACATAATCACAAACTGAAAAAAAAAAACACATATTCGTTATATGTTATACAATTAGGACATACAAGAGCGGCATCATTTAATTTATATATACTGACAGTGCAAATATACCTCGATAGTATTGGGAAATGTGAGAGCGACCACATCACCGGGCTGAATACCAGCAGCAACGAGTTGAGACGCGGCTTGTTCAATAAGTTGTTGTAGCCTTTCATGCGTGACAATGAATTTTCCCGAAACAGATATTGCGTTGCGGGTAGGGAATTTTTCAGCAACATGTTTCAATAACCTTGTGAGCGTCAAATTAGTTGCCATTTTTTCCAACAAATAAAACAATAGAAGAAGATTAATTAGTTGTAAGACAAAAAATTGAGATGAAAATAGAGTTGTGATTGGCAAGGCATATATAAAGAGTATAGAGAAAAAAATGGCGGCCAATATAAATGCAAAGAAGTAGGAAGGAAGGGAGGATCTAATATCTAGTAAAGACGAGGAAAGGTAGGTATGGCAAATTACAAGTGGCAAATTCTTGGAGAGTGCATATTTCCTCAATTCGCTCGCGTCCGTTAGACGCTGAATCCATAATACTAGAAGAAAGATTGTGAGAAGGAGTCTAGGGAGATATTACGAGTTAGGCTGAATTTAATAATTTTAATTTAAATATTTGTATTTTTATTAAACAATATATTAAACATGTATAAAAATTAAAATCAGAATTCAACTCTTAATATTAAATATTCCTCCTGTTCCTAATTATTTGTTCTCTTTTGAATTGATACACCTATTAAGAAAACAATGATTAACATAGTGAATTGACCATTTTATCCATATTAATTATGAAGTGGATAAATTAAAATTTTAAGATTTTCAAGAAGTAATTAATTGAGGGTATAATAGGTTAAAAAAAATTGTCTTTTCTTGATTTATCAAAATGGACAAGTAAAAAGGGACAAATAAAATAGGTAAATTTGAACAAGTAACTAGGGATAGTGGGAGTAAGAAAGAAGTATTCAAAACACTCATGAACTTGATGCAAATTATTAGTTTCGTCCCCAAACTATTGATAGCCTTAAAA